TCTCCTCTTCCATCAACCAAATGATCCATCCCTCCACTGATTGATTGTCATCTGAAATGGCTGTGTGTATGTTGTCTGTAAATGTGTCTGTATCTGTATATGGTGTGTACAAACAAACAATTAATTACTGGGCTAGTTGTTATATTTGTTTCTCATCTCATTGTCAGTGCTTTCATTCTCCCTCGCCTTCTCTGGTCCAGGTATATCCTCTCTTTCAGTATTCCTTGCAAAGGGTTGTGTTTAAGTCAATAAATGGTAATGTTTTTTGAATCGATTTTTATGACGCCGGCATGATTTTTTGGTTTTAAGAGCTGAAAATTCGTTTTTAGGCAGATTTCCAAGGCGTTTAAGGTGCCAAACGACACCTTGTGCGATGGGGCCGATGACCGATGGGTTTCTCAAAAAGGTCTGGCGCGGTATAATTAAGCTAAACTACGTAGGATCGCTATCGAAATTAGGAATTCAACGTATCCGTACTTTGTAGTTTGAAGGGCCATTTTAACGATGGGAATAGTGAGAATTGTGTAGTTTCCTAAACACTGGAGTGTTTTCTAGATTGGATTTCAGAAAATTACTTTTGGTACTGATCTGTAAGCAGGGGTGGAAACCTCAATTTTTTCCAAATGCATGAAAAAGTCCTGAAACAGCCAAAAATTTCGAAATTTGAAATTTTTTGCAGGTTTCTAGCGTCAAATCTACTAAAAACTTTACAAAACGACGCTATTCATTATTGAAAGGCATTACAGGGTGGGTCAGAAAATTGTTCCGGTGTTTGTCCCCGAATAACTCGACAAGGAAACATATTTCACCATGCGTTACCATGCCAGAATGCCTAAATATGTCAGGAATAGAGATTAAGATCAACTTGATTTTTTCGATTTTTTAGTACGCAACTGTACTATTGACGCTGGTTACGATCGAAAATTGTGCGTTCTTGAACGGGTGGTGGGAAAATTCTGATTTTTGGCCCAAAAATAGTTAAACGTTGTAGAAAGGTAATAGCAAAGTCTTAAAATTTTTGAAGGTCTAGTTATTTTTTTAGAAGCGAAACAAATTTCCGTATTTTGCCTCTTTTTTACTTTTTAACTTGGAACTCGCTTCAAATCCGCTGCCCATGGCTGATCTTTTGCAGATGGTGTCTCCGAATGATAATCTTTAGCACAACACCAAATCTTACGTGATTCTATGGTATTTTAATATTGCTTGCTAAAACGTGCCCCAGAGGGATACTGTAGTTTTCGTTTTTCGCGTTTTTCTTTTGATTGTAAGCTGCGATTTCGCTTAAAATTTTATCATTGGTAAACACCAGTAACGGTCACCTATGGGCTAAATATCGCCAAGTTCTAGCCATACACCTTCTTAAAATATGCAAAAAACTTAATTTTGAATTTAGCCACGGAAATTTTTAAATATTTTGATCGATCGGGCTAAAAACTACTATTATTAGTTTTCCCGAAAGATCGAAACGTTTCTATGGTGAAAAGAACGAGAAAACGGCGATTTTCTGTTTTCTACAGTAACCCGCCTGGAGCGCGTTTTAGCATGCCAAGACAAAATTCCATAAAGTGACAGTTTTTCGATTCTAGACTGTTCACTGTGGGATTGGAAGAGCCCATGCAAAAAATTACTTCATTCCTGTGGCAAATGACAAAGTTATGAAGGAAAGAGGAAAACCCGCCCTGGGGCCCGATTTTGGATCTGAGGCCCCGGGTCGAATATTCAATTTTTGAAAATGAAAAAGGCACCGTGGTTTGGTGGATACAATTAAAGCACGTATCGTACTGTGGATTGGAGCAAAATTCTGGAATGATCTGGCTGAAGTTAATGGTTGATTTTGATTTAAAACCCGAAAATAACGTTTTTTGAAAAGCCGACTTTGGGGCGCTCTTCTAAATTCGTTTGCCATGAAAAGGTTTTGCGTTTGCATGGGTTCTAGTTGAGTACTGAAGCTTCATCTATGCCAGAAAAGTTGGGGCTACTAGAGCTTCGAGAATTTTTTTACGTCGCCTCGAATTCGGGTATATTTGGACTTTTCATGAATTTCTTTTGAAAGATCGAATGGCCCAATAAATTTGTAAATATAATCTTAGAATGCGCCCATTAAGTAGTATTAAATAAAATTATGACAATAATTCTAGCCGCGCAAATCAATTTTATAGACTGGCACGAAGGTCTGCGAAATAGCAAGAACCAACCGTTTTGGAGGCGCTAAAAGGCGCCCTTCCAAAGGGGTACGGTAGCTAGAAATTGTGTACATGATAGATGGACCCCAGTCCTACACAACGAAGCAAAGCAAACACCGAAATTCTATCTGCAATTCTAGAAATATTTTTCCAAAGTTCAGTTTCGGGACCTCGAAAAAATCCATGACCAGGGGGTCGTCGAAAAACTCAAAAATCCGCCGATCTGAAAAAATTCTTTGATATTTTTGTGGGATTGTATCGAGCCCATAGACATGCCAAAACAGCTTATTTTGAGGTTTCCACCATAGGTTTTTGTAATATTCGAATTTTACGAAATTTCACCATATTAAATTTGAGCACGCTATAACTTGCCAACCAGACCTTCGAAAATTCCAAAATTTCGGATGTGCGCAGGGGCAGTTCTTATGTACCCACACTGTAAAAACTGAAACCGTTCGACCACCAGCAATTCAGAAAAAAGCAAACGAAGTTTTGCCGGAACGCACAGTTTTCGGGTGTCATTTGTATGGGTACGTCGCCAAAAATCGAAAAAATCAAGTTGATCTTAATCTCTATTCCTGACATATTTAAGCATTCTGGCATGGTAACGCATGGTGAAATATGTTTCCTTGTCGAGTTATTCGGGGACAAACTCCGGAACAATTTTCTGACCCACCCTGTAGTTGACGGAAAAAAAAACAAAATTTCGTTTCCCCCTGTCTTTGCGGCGCTTTTCAGCTTGAAATCAATATGCTTGGCACAACGCTTTCAAAATGACGGCCTTTAAGCGTTCGGTTGAAGCATCAATGCGTTTTTCAAAGAACCAGCGACTCGCAAAGCTTTGGGCGACTTGTCAACAATATTTCCCAACACGATTGACTCGTCGTCTAGGCGGTGGTTTTGCCCTTTGAGGACTTGTTTACGCGCTGAAGGGAGGAGGCACCGCCCCAGTCTCCCTGCCCCTACCATGGCCATTTCTTATTTTTCATTCGGCAGATAGATACTGGATAGTCGCGTACCATCTCTCCCCTCCATCTATTCATGCCAATCAAAACACTTTGCTAATCCTGATGTCATCGTGTTTTCGCGGGGTTTTTAGGGGGTGGTAAACGCGTGGTTTGGCTGTTATTTGAGTCAGTTTAGTGGTTTTTGAGGTTTTTACACGTGTTAGAAAGCTTTTTTATACTATTTTAATAGAGTTTAGTCATGCCATCCCGTTCTTGCTTGCATTTTTAGAGGTTTCTTTACGTAAAAGTTTAGGTTTTTAGCTTTCTGAAGCTAGAAAATTTGATGGGGGGGTTGGTTTATCTCCCCCCGCGGAAGAGGGTCCTGGGGGTCTGGTTTTTTCCCTTTTTTTTTGGGTTTTCCCAACACCTTTTGAAAAAAAGTCAAAAATATTTTTAAAAATTTTTTTTTTTCACCCTAAAATTAATAAAAAAAAAAAAAAAAAAAAAAAACCCCCGGCTGGAAAAAAAAAAAAAAACCAAGTGATAAATTAGCCCGTTTTCACGTAGTGGCAGGTTTTTAAATCGTTTTTAAGCCCTTTGCACGTTTAGAAGCTAAAAAAGTGTCATCCTAAAAGTTTTTGGTTTTAGAGAGCCTGTTAGAACCGTTTCTAATGCTTTTTTGGCTTTTAGAAACCGTAAAATTTAGTAAATCATGGCCGTAGGTAGGTCATTAGGGAATTTTAGCAATGCTAAGCTTTTGAAATGTTTATTTTAATAGTTATAACATTTTTTGCGTGCCATTTCCCCTGTGTGCTTATAATTGTTATTCAAAAGCTATTTACCCGTTCTAAAGCATGATCTCCCCTGATGAGCCGATGAATGTCCGCGTGCGCCTCGTCAGCCAATCCTCGGCCGATACAATCGAATTGATGTTAGATTATGAGGAACCGATTGGAAGTCTAAAACAATCATATTCAAAGAAAACTGACGCAAATCGAGATGGAATCAGATTTCGATATCGAGGGAAAGAGGTAGAAGACGAGGAGACGCCCAGAGAATTGGACATGGAAGATGAGGAAATGGTCGAGGTGTTCGAGATGGAGGAGGAGCACGAGGAGGAGCACGACCTGCGGAATTTGTAGCTTGTAGTTTGTGGATTTGGCTTCAGCTTATCCCCGTGTATTTTATCTAACCTTATGTTTTTGGATTTACTTTGTTTTTTGCTTGCTTGCTGTGCTGTTTGGAATTTGCAGCTTGTGGTTTTGACGTTTATCGATTTGGCTGAAGCATTTGAAGCTTGTAGTTTGTGGATTTGGCCTCAACTTTTGCTTGTCTGATGTACAGTTCTCTAGATATTATTAGAACTTGTAGTCTGTAGTTTGTTTGCATTTTGCGCGAAATCTACTTGGCTTGGAGTATTTTGTTTATTTTTGTGGCTTACTAACCTTTTTTCGATACAGACATTTAGAATTTGTAGCTTGGAGGCTGTATCTATTTTTCTTGGCCTTGTTACTAACAAATTATTTGATTTTGGATTTTTGCTAATTTTGGCTAGTTTCTAGAGTTGGTAGTCTGTAGAGATTCTGAAGCTTAAAAAGAATTTAACACCTTTTTTGAAAAGACGGTCACATTCCATTTTGATGAGCTTGCTTTTTAAAAGTGCATTTATTTAATTTTCTGTGATTTTTCGACCCCTTAAAAAGACGCATAATAAAATTGCAGATATCTCAACCGCTTAAAAACACCCGACTACTACCGAAATGAATGCTGCTGTAAGTTAATTTAAATTTTTGAAAGACTTAAAATACAAGAAAAAAATAAATTAAATGGTTTCAAATTATTTTAATTTATTTAGAAGCGTCTCGCCGTGATGACTGTCCGACAGGTCGGCCAATCCCCAGCCGGACAGGGCTTCAACCAGCCGATGGCCGGAAAATCGAACAATAACATGGTTTACGGGCTTTTGGCTGCTGCTGTGGCTGGAGGAGGAGCTTATGCCTATTTGAGGCCCGGAAGGGGAAAGGTTGGTAGACAACTAGCAGGGATTATTGGGGAAATCGACAAAAATAGGCTGGCTAGCAGAAAATCTTTGCGGAATTCGCCTAAAATCGTCTAAAATCGCTCAAAACGCGCAAACCAGCAGAGACCATTGTGGAACATAGCAGAGATCATTGGGGAATGGACGCGGTTTAATGGGAGCGCAACGATAAACAAAGACATCGCAGGGCGAGGCAAGCCGGCAAAAAAACCCTGCGGAATCGATCACTATCTCGTAAAATTTGACGAAAATCGTCTAAAAGCGATCAAATTTTCTGGGTAAGCTACCAGAGACCATTTGGAAACCGAAAAACTCTAAACTGTCAGCCAGTTAATAATATAAAACACTTTAGCACACCGATGCCAAGCTCCACAAGGAGAAGGAGGAGTCGAAGGAGCATGGCCAGAAGGAGGGACTTGATGCCGCTCAAAATGCCCAAAAGGACAAGGCTGGCCAGAAGGGCCAGAATGCGGCAACACCCACCAATCAGGGACCGGTACGTTGCCGAGGTTTTTGGGGATTTTGGGATTTTAAAGAGAGCGTGACACGGGGAATTCCGCGCCAGAAAATCCAAATTTTGTCATTTTATCGAAAATAACCGATAAATAATTGGTAAAAACCATCGAAAATTGCTAATTGAAGGCCAGGCTTAGCGGGGATCATTGGGGAAGGGTCGAAATGTTCGAAAAATTCAAAATTAGTAGGGTTTTTTGGCGTTTTTAGCTTTTTTGAGCTCAGAATTGCCCAAACGCTGCTGCAAAGATTGACCATTTCCAGAATGCTCAGAAAGAAAAGACTGGCCAGAATGTCAGCCGACAACAGCAGCAGAATGCAAATACACCCAACCAGGGAGCGGTGCGTAGCCGAGATTCTTGGGGTTTTTTGATCATAGGGGACACACGAGGAATTTGGGAGCCTTAAAATCACTTTTTTACAAATTTTTTTTGCAAAAATACCGATAATTATTTGGTAAAAACTATCACAAAACTTTAACTAGGGGCAGGCTAGCGGAAATCACTTGAGAAAGCCCAAAATTCTCGAAAAATGCGTTTTTTAATGGCCTTTTTAGTTTTTTAGCACTGTCCAGGCGCGGAATTCCCCTTTCGATGGCTATTTTTATAATAATATTTTACGATTAATTAAATGAATTAATTACCGCTAATTTAAGCTTACAAAAAATAAAATTTCAATTTATACCGTAATTGATACTGTAAATTCTTCAATCGCCTTTTTCAGGCTCCCCGAATGTAAGCAGTGAGAGAGTGAATCGATCGACCATTCACCACACCAATAATGACAATCAATTTGCATAAAGATTGTATAGAAATGTAATTACCGTATCCACTTTTGGCATTCCAAGAGAATAAACGAGTTTTTTTCGAATATCACTGCAACGAGATCCCATATGAATTGGTTGAAAAACCATGGAATTTCCGCATATTTAGCCTTGATTTTAATTTTAAGGAATTACATACCTTTAGAAACCAAAAAATCATCCGAAAATGTTGCCAGTGGTACGTTAAAATGCCGTATTTAGAATTTTGCAGTTTTTAGAGAAAAGTGGCAACGGTCGCTTGCCGAAACGCGGCCAGCACCACCGATAAAATGTTCAGCTACAATGCCCCCATGAGGAGGTTGGCTTAATTTTTAACTTAAATTTGGTAAAAAAATCACATTTTTCTCACAGTTTTAGAAAAAATGAATTTCTCAATTTTGAAAAAACGGGAAGGCCAAAAAAAAGCGAGAAAAAGGTTTTTCCATTACTTCAAAAGCTGAAATTAGTTAAACAAATCGTTTTCAAAATTGCTAAAATTTCTCAAAATATTTTTAGTAAGGAAAACGGTCTCCTTTTCGGTCTGTTGGCCGCTACAGTAGCTGGAGGAGGAGCATATGCTTACTATCGCCCTGGAAGGCAATCGGTAAGTTTTTTTAGAGTATTGGTGCGTCTGTCAGTATATTTGTCTGACAGTTTGTCTATCTGTCCGCCCGGTCTGTCACTTGGTATATCTATCTGTCTGCCAATCCATTGTTTTCTTCACAGATAGCTTCACCATTTTTGTTTCAAGAGCTTTTCGACATTTTTATTCGTCAGCTTTACAACAGTTTGTCTGTTGATCGGTCCGTTTGTCTGTCTGTCCGCTAATCGACGGTTATAACAATTTAACCGGATGGAAATTCGACCATTTTTGTCTTACGATTGTTTTGAACATTTGATGCCTCTGTCTGTCAGTTTATCTGTTTGTATGTATGCCGCTCTGTCTGTCTGTCAATTTGTCTATCTGACTCCCATTCCCTCGTCCTATACGTCTACCTGGATGCTAATTTGGTCGTTTTTGAATTTATTCATCTATCTGTCTGCCAGTTCCGAATTTCCAATCAATATTTTCCCAAAATCCGCTTTCAGTCTTCCGGAAATCGTCTTGAGCGTGCAAAAGCCCAGGGCCGTGAAGAGCAGAAAACCGTCCAGACCGCTCCGAATGAATAAGCTATCTCTACAGTAGCTACTGTAGTTTATTCTGTCTTGCATAGCCACGTACTGTAAATAGTAATGTAATTACTCTGTATATACGGGATTTTTGAGTGCTGTAGTGCAATAAACGTTTTTTAAACATTTTTATTTGGGTTTCCCGTTAACTGGTTGCCATCCGGTCCTTTTTACCTATTTTTGGCCGTGATAGCTTTCGAAAACCAAATTTTTCTAGAAAAATTAGAAGATTGAAGAATGTTGCGAGCAGCTTCGGTAAGCAATCTGACAGCCAACAAATACGATTATTACTTCAGAAAGCCCAACTCCGACCGGCCGTCCGAAATTTGCATAAAACGACGAAAGCGGTGGATGCGATGCCCGGGCTAGGAACGACACCGCCGGGAGGAAAAATGCCAATGATGTGGGTTTAAATAAAAATTCTTTTAATTTTAGACGTCTTAAAATTCTTTAAATTAAACAGCTTAAGCTCTAGTGATTCTTTTTCAACTTGAAAATATTTTTAAAAGCGCTATTTAGTTACACGAAGTTTAAGTGTATTTTAATTTTTTTTCTTTGAAATGCGGCCTTTTTGTGTTTTCGAAATTATATAGATTTTGATACCTTAATTTGATCTAGCGATCGGAACAATTTATTTAAACTGCTAAAAATTAAAAATTTTGTCCGGTTTTCAAGTTCCTTTAAAATGTTCAGTTTTCAATTTTTCAGCTCCGATACCGGGAAATTCCTTCTTGGCGCGGCTGCCGTGAGTACAGCCGGCTACTTTGGATATGGATATTTGAGGGGGCAACAATTGAGACAATATAGGGTACGGATACCGCCGTTTTTTAATGAAATCTTTTCTTCTCATTTCGCCTCCAAATATCTCGCTTTTGCCATTCTATTAATGTTTCTTTTATTCTTGAAACATTCCATTTTCATCTCATCTGTTCCCTAAAGGGAGCGTGACACCTAAACATACGAAAATTCAGTTAAAGCGTACAAAAAAATAAAAATGTGATTTTCGAAAATTTAACCTGTGAAAACTTTTGTAAAAATTTTTTTAGCTTTAATTCGCTACCGTGAGACGGGTTACTGTAGAAAAAATGGGCATTTCTAATGATTCTCTCTCTCTCTCTCTCTCTCTCTCCCCCCCCTCCTCTCTCTCTCTCTCTCTCTCTCTCTTCTCTCTCTCTCTGTCTCTCTCGCTTCGTCTGTCATTTGTTGTACTTCGTAGTGTTGTTGTTTAGAATAAATAAATATCTACCGTAGTCCTGTGTAGTACCGTACCCCTATGATATTTTTTTGCGGTTTTTCGCTTTTCCGGAAAGCCAGAAATTCCACCGACGGTCAGTAGCAGCTTTCCGAAAAAGCGAAAAACGCTATTTGCAATATTTTCTTCCCCGCATTCGGGAAAATCTGCTTCTGATCTTTCCGGAAAGCTACAAAATACACCGGCCGTCATTAGCAGCGTTCCGGAAAATCGGCATTTGGGAAAACCCAGCTACAGTATCGCTCTCATTTTCAGCGTGACATCTCCGCTCATAAAGGCCCAATTCCCGAGACGAAAGAGGCCATCGATTCGGCGATGAATAAAAGCATGTAAAATTATTTCTACCGTAACCCCAGGCATTTTTAGCGTCCCACCAGCCATCACAATAAAGGAGCCACCGGCTGACAAAGCGGGAGAGGTAATTTACGGGAATTTTGGAAAGGTTTCACCTGGCTTTTTCGAGGGTTTTAAAGGGATGGTGACTGCTGGAAATAAAGTTTTTTGAATTTAGGAAAAATAGCTAAAATATCAATTAAAAACCGTTTAAAGTGGTTTTCTGGCCCGCCAGATAAGACTTTGGCCTCCTAAAAACACGCAAAACACTTGATCTTTCGAAAAATCTTGGTGTCACTATCCCTTTAAACCCCAATAATTCGGCTTTCTGACACCCACTCTGGCCAATATCTGTTCATATTTCCACCCTTGTCACTCTAATCAAAAATCTATGCTAAATTCGCCCAGGCCGAACATCAAATAGACGAAGATCTGCCGGCATTGTTAGAGACCGGGGAGGATTGGTAGTTTTGTCAATAGAAAAAGGTAATTAGAAAAGCTAAGCGTATTTTCGAACGTAAACCGGGTGAATTGGCATCCAGAAAAACCAAAAATACATCAAAATTACAAGAAAAATTCAAATTTTAGATGGCCGCCCTTGCCGAAACAGCCGCTGCCGGCCCTTCAGCCGCCCTGTAGTTTGTATTCCATCCTATTTTATTGATTATTTTCACATTCATTGGCTTTACTGGTGCACAGAATAAAGATTTCTATTCGTAAAAATTGTGCAGTTTGCGTTTTTGAAGGGGCTGTGACAGGGAAAACGCGTGCATTTTCGGAATCTTGTAGTTTGTAGCTTCGCCAGCTTCATCCACTCTTTACAGTGCGATTTAATTGATTGGCTGACAGATTAAACATTTCCTGTGCTAAAAAGGCGTACCTGACGATTTTAAAGGGACAGGGACAGCAAAATTCAACAAATCGACAACTCAATCTCGACAAAACGTCAAAAAATCATTTTTTTTTACAATCGAAGTCGCAAACTAAGCTAATTATCGATTTTCATAATGCGACTGATGACTTCACTGGTCCTTAAGCCACAAAATAAAGTCCAAGCAAACAAACATTTTTGAGTACGGTGGCCCTCAAAAGCCTTCATGGTAGTAAACCAATACTTATCACAACAAATGACAAAACCCCAGGAGTTCGTTCTCTCTCTCTCTCTCTCTCTCTCTCTCTCTCGATTTTTAGCGATTTTTCTCTGCGTCACTCGACCTCTCATACTCTCTCCCCTCTCTCCCCCAGTCGTCAACATGTTTACCGGGCGCCCCGCGTGCCCAAAAAGTGCATTCTGCCCCCCAACAACAACCGCCCCTCATTCTCTACCAGACGAAAAGCATCGATTCAGTCTAGTTGGTTGCCAGTTAACGCCTTCACTTAATTTTTCGGTTCCATCTCTTAATTTTTGAGGATTCAGTGATTTCATCATTTACTCTGGCAGTCAATGCAACTTTTAGCGTAGTTTGTAGCCCAATTTAGTGAAATTTCTAGGATGGAGTTTTTGCATCATCTAAGCTGGCAGTCGAAGTGTATCTTGGCATAGTTTGTAGCCAAATTTTAACCGAGGATTGAGCTTTTGGTTCATCTGTTTTGGCAGTCAACGCGTCTTATTGAGTAGTTTGTAGCTCAATTTTAATGAATTTCGAGCATTGAGTTCTCTAAGAATGACAAATGTACGTCAGTTTGCTTAACTATGAAGTAAATCCGTGAATTTTCTTCATTTTACAGTTTTTAAAAATTATTTTCCGGCTTTCTGGTCAATTGCTGGATAGCAAAAGATATCATTACGGATTTTTTTAGATATAAAACGCTCCCCACGCTAAAAACCAGTGAAAAATGCTCCGCAACGCTACGGTAAGGTCCTAAAAATCGATTTGAATTATTGATTTTTTTAGAAATCGGGCCTGAAGATGGCCTCCCGCCGAAGCCAAAGCGCCACCGCCGCTGCAGCCCCACCACCACCCCCCACCAATTCACCGCCCGGGTATGAATTATTGATTTTCATGCAAAATTTAGCTCATTGGATGGCAGTTTGTAGCTTGAACTCTATAAAATAATAAAAATCGTGACTTCCGTCCAAAAATCTCGATGCTTCTGTTAAAAATTGCGAATTTGGCTAGCGGTTTAGAGTTTGGCCGCGTTTAATTCACCAAAAAAAATAACTAACGTAAAATATTT